CCGTGGAGTTTCACCTTCTCCTTTTCTCGGCTGGCCGGTCCGACCGCAGCCAAAAGGACCGGGTTCGTCGAATCCGTCCGCCAGGACAGTGGTGTCTCACCAGACCTCCGGTTTCCATGCAACGGCTACCAAAAAGGGAAGCGCGAGTGCCAGTGTGTAGCCGACCGAGCACTCTCCTAACTCCTAGGGTAACGGACTAGTCCGCCCGAACAAGCATCAAAACAAACTGAAGACTGCTTCTGAATAAATGCAAAATTTGTGAACAATCAGAGTCTTGATTTGTGCAAGTTGAAGCTGCGCTGCTGAAAATGTTTAGTTTCGTGAATGCTTGAAGTGTTTGGCTTAGAGAGAAAACAGAGAGCAAAGCTCTGCTTCAGCAGTGAGGTTTTGAACTATTTGATGTTTAAAAAGACCATAGTTTATATAGAAGCAAAATCCAGAATGCTTCCTGCAATATTTGGCATGACTTGCTTAATTGCGTTACGGCCTGTCAAAAGATGTTCACTTCACGCCGTTTCTCAACGGATTTGGCTTCAATCCTGGAGAACATAGTGCATGCATGGAGAACGACTTGGCGTGAGATTACAATAACCACAAAAAATTTGCCGAGCACCCTTCTCCAGTGCGCAATCTTTCAAAACGATGGGAGTGTTTGTGCATGTCCGGTTTTGGTATCTTGCGTGTATCTTGCCTCCGTCGTCATGTCTGTGCTGGAAAGAACACTTCCCGCAAACTTGTTGGGCGGCTTCTGTCAGCAAGAATGTCCAAATCCAGTTTACCGCGCGTAACTTGTAGCCTTCGTAGGGGGTCTTGTGCATGTAAAGTTGGGGGATCAAGGATGCGTTCGTGGAATGGCATGCTTGCACACGCACACGTGGTCATGTAGTACCCGTTGCTTTCTACACCCCTTGAGAGGTCGCAGCAGAAAGCGGCGGGATGTGTGATCGTGTGCATGGCAAACCGATTTCCCCTGTTTTCAGCTAGGAACGCGCGTTCATATGCTGTCGGCTGGATGCTTGGGGAGCCTCCATGACATGTTCCGCGAAGGCTGCTCGTCTTATGGACTTGCAAGTTGCATGGATGCAAGCACGGGGATCAATGCCACACAGACATGAACCGTAATGTTCTTAGCTTTTCGGGTTCTCGCCAGTTTCACGAGTTCGCATGGTGATATTGAAGTCGGGTCCACCTATGTGGGGTTATGCAGCTCTATTCGGAAGTCAGTGTGAGCTCACAAATAATTGTGCCCTTGAGCTCCGGCCTCGCATAGCCATGGCAGCGAGTGATCAGGACTGGTGGACCCAAAAACAATTGGCCACAGCTGTTCCGGCTGCAGATGCTGTCGATGATGCTAGGCTTTCGATTTGCTCGTCGTGCACCTCGATGCTCCTTGGATGAACGTTGTCGTGAAGTTCACGTGTACGGTCTTTGGGTTTCCTGCAGAGAGGCAGCCCTGCACGGTTTCCTCCATGAACGGCTGTCGAGGCTTCCAACGGGCATTCTTTAGGCTTGCAGCTGTGCGAGGACAGCTTGCAACACGAGCCACGTGTATCCACGCACGAGTTGCATGCTCCAGCCCAGAAGCATGCGCTAGAAAACTGGAAGCCCGAAACATCTTCTCTTGTTGGGGTACCGCATGTAGAGTTGAGTTGCAGTCTTGCTGCACACAGTACAGATGTCCAACTTGTCAGCTCCCAGATGTGCACATGCACATCCGCATACATGAGGACGGTATTACCATCGCTTCTGCTGATGCCTTAGTTTTGTGCCGGACATTGCATGCAGTTGCTGTGCCTGGGAGAACCGAGAAGAGCATCCTGGCTGCCGCAAGGTGGACGATGACTCTTTGGTGGCCGGGTGGAATGCACTGCATTCCAGACAAATATTGCCGGGCTCCGTGCTTCGGCGGGTGAATGGTCAGACCGATCTGGATAGCATGGGCCAGGACCGCAGACAACATGCGAATTCGTCACATGACTGCGAGCTGTCTTTGAGAGATTGCTAGCCGGAAAGCAGACTGCAGGAACTGGCGCAGTTGAAGCCATTGACGTTGGAGGTTCAACTCGTGAAGGACCAGGCAGAAAGCTGCACAGTCAAACAGCAAGCAATTCTGGTCCGCATTCTGCACTGTGACTGCAATCGGCTTGAGTTAGACGTTGTGTGCATGGATTTCGGTTGCAATGGTAGGACGAGACGAACGACAGCAACGTTGACATTGAGTCGATGAGGCTCGCGGTGTTCCCGTTGTCCTACTGGTCGCAAAACCACATGTGTCGGCCCGTCCAGGCTTCAAGATCGCATACAGTTGGAGCAGCAAAGTCGGGAAGCTGCCATGGAACAGCTGACCATCTTCATACAGCAAGCTGTTACGACCGTGTCGAATCGCATGGAGGAGATGTTCGATGCACTCTGCTAGGTAGCTGCAAATTTGTCATAGAGCTTTTTTGGTTCAGAAGCTTCTGAGAGGAGCTTGCGCTGACGCATGCCGGAAGCCAGCGTCAACAGCATTCACAGATGCGAGCTCTAAGCCAGCTGGTCACGGATACCCAGCAGGCACAGCAAAAGCAGGTGATCCGACTAAGTCGATTAGAAGAGCTCCGCAAGGGCGACTTGCAGCGCATTGAAGACATCGAGGCAGAGCAGAAGCGTCTCTGCCAAACTTTGCAACGACTCACTGAAGACGCGCAACATCGGAGCAACCAGGTGAACGAAGCGCTGAGAGGGATCGCGCAGGATGTCACGTCCTTGGAACAGTTCTGTAGGAATCGGCGAAGGCCTTCGAAAACTGACACTGTAAACGGCTCGGACGATGGTGCAAGCATTCCTACACTAGTTGCTTCGGAACAGGGGCTTTTTGCTCAGCGCACAACCCCTGTCATCAGTAGTGTTGCAGAAGATGGACCATTGAAACTCAAGACCCCAAATGTCCAGCCATCCTCTAGCATGGAGGTGGCATCCACCAAAGTCCGAACTACGGCCTCCTCAAGCCCAGCGAGTTCCCCTCGTGTGATTGCAACCCCTGCGGAGAGTGAGCCTGCTCCTCTCAATCTACAGCCAGCCTCGCACCCCACACAAGCTACACGGCCTTCTGCTGCACAAGCCACACCTGGCAGACTGTTCACACCCGAGTCGCGCAGAGTCTCCATGGACAACGGAAAGCTTGCAGACTGGATGGCAGTGAGCACTGGAGCTGCGGCTATGGATCCCCAGCACGGGCCCAGCCCCACCAGGCATGTTTGGCCAGCAGAGGTGCAAAGGCCAACGACCCTCTGTTCACCAAGATACCCCTTGTCACCCAGAACAGCGGCCCCAACGATGGTCGGAGCACTCTCTTCACTGCCAGCATCCAATACCCGTCTGCTCTCCCCACAGCGGTCGGCCGTGGCATCTCCGGCATTTCCTTCACCGTCTCGGCCATTGAGCCCTGCAGGTTTCCACCTGCTGAGGCCCGAGGCGTCTGTGCAGAGCCCACGCTTGACAAGAATGGTCCAAGGGCCCTTCCCAGTCGTAATCGCCCCAAACTCTGGTTACAGTTCGAGCTGGTCACAGCTTTCCCAGAATCTAGGGCCGCAGGGACCGCCAGCAGCGTGCGCCTCTTGGAGTTCCCCAGCCGTGCCCGCAGCTATGCCGCCATCGACACCACCAGCCGCAGGTGGCCCGCCGGGCCCTGTCCTTCCCGCCACCGAGCGGGCACGACGTGTGACGTCTCCGCCGCGGTCAGGCCAAAGTTGAGGGGACACATCTGGTGGTCGAAGAGCCGAAGCACGAAGCTATGCCTGCAGCGGTGGCAGGTTAGATTGGACTGATCCAAAGTGGTCACCAAAAGATATGTTTAGCCAATGATTTGCGACAAAGAGAGACTGCTCAAAATCGCAAGCTTATCGCAACATCCTGGACTTTGCATCACAGAGGTTGGGTTGGAGGGCGACGTTCCCTGAAATTTTAACTCCGATCAGAGTGGAATGTAGGGAGCTGGACATGACTGCATACGGAATCGTATCTTGTTCAGGTGCACGTGCGGAGCGAGGCTGTTGGTTCGAATTTCTCTCAAGACCTTCGAGCATGGAGCATGACCTTGTGTAGCGACGTGGTAAAAGTGCTCAGCATGTACAGGGCGAACAGGCCAGTGTTCGGCCACCATTACTTGTGGCACACAGTCTTCAAGCATATCACTCGTCGCAACATGCACTCTGCCGGCTTGAAGCCTCCGACCTTAGACCCTTTTCGGAAGCCAGAGTCCCAGGCCATGCCGTTCTACTGATGGCAAGCAATGTGTCGCTAGCGCATCCAAGGCTCGGAACACCACAGCCGGCCAAAGTAAGTGCAGGAGACCTGTTGCATTCCTGCCGGACAGAGAGACGCAGTGCCTGAGAGAGAGGGAGAGAGAGAGAGAGAGAGAGAGAGAGAGAAGACGATGTGGACAAACAGACCTTGACGACCAGTGCGCTTGCGCGTGCGGGGAGGGCTTGCCCTCCTTTGGCTGTGCAGAAGAAGACGATGTGGAAGAAGAAAGAGAGAAAGAGGTAGACAGGGAAAAACAACTTGACAGAAGCAGTGCACAGCACAAGGCTTGGTTACTTGGCTTAGTTCGGAAAGGGGTTCTCAGTGCTGTAGGAAGGAGGAGAGTTGAACCCGGCTGGATTCCCCACCTGCGGTTGCGCGAATGCAGGGGTTGCCGCCTACATGGGGTGACCCATAGGGCCCGAAAGAAGGAGAAGAGAGAAGAGAAAGGGACAAACGGATAAATAGCAGAACACAGTGGCTAAGACGGCTAAGACGAGCAGAAGACCTTGTCCAGTTGGATTTGGATTTGATGAGGGGGTTAAGACACCAGATATCACGGAACCAGGCTTAGGACATTTGCTGCCGCCGTCTAAGGCTTTGCAAACTGACATCCCACATCCGAGTGTGCTTCGAAGGCGGCTCTAACCAGCTCCCAAGGCCCAAGGAAAAACAGCACACAGCCAGCACACAAACATACAAACATACAAACATAAACACATGCATACATGCAGAGATACAAGTACAAACATGTTGTCATCCCCCTGCGCTGCCCATGACCTTTTATCATGTCAGGACAGCTAGCCACATCAACTCCCGGAAGGCACATAGCTCGCTGGTCAAGGGCTAAGAGTTTCCAGTCAAGCCAAGGCCCGACAGAGGTGACGTCAGAAGCTCAGATTTTAGAAGGGTTTCCGAAGCAAAGTGATGCTGAGTCATCCGGGATCGAGCCTTCTCAGGTTGCCTTGCCTGCCAGTCGGCTTTCGGAGCTGGCGCAGCGCTTTCATTTCATCGAGCGCCAGGTTGGCTCGGCGAATTATGCTTTTCACAAGCTCAGTCTTGGCATGAAGCATCATGAAGCTGTGCATGGCCGATCATGTCCGGTAGTCAGTATTGTGGTGCTTTTCAGTTGGAAGAGCAAGACTGTGATTCGTTGCCGTTCAGGTGGAAGCTGACACGAAGTCCAGGAAGCACACGGAAGACTCAACTGCAGCGTGCTCGGCAAGACACAGCAGGACCCCATACTAAAGTTGGATGCATTCAGAAATCCGGTGAGCTGATTTGATGTGTCCAGGTCGAGAACCTTTGGCTGGACGTCCATGTCTCAAAGAGGCAGTGTTCCCGTGGCAGTGCCGCGGTCAGTGTCGCAATGTGAGAGTCGCGGCTGGTACGGCTTGAGCCTCGCAGCGTAGAGCAGAGGCAGATGTCAGGCAGGATTCAGGCACAATTTCAGCCCTCGACGTTCAGGGCTGCCATGTTCAGAGAGTGTTGTTGAACGATGTAGGTTCTGGTCGTTGCCTCCAAGCACGTGCAAGTGGGTAGTGCCCAGAAGAGAGTCTAACTTCAATCGACGTTCAGAGCGCAATTCTTCAGCAGCATGCAGCATGGCACCGTCCCATTTCGTCGGCTTGATCTTCACATGTGTCTTGGACTTCACGAGACCCGTTGGGTGTTCAGAAATGATCTGCCCCCCAAGCCATCTGATCTATAAGGTCTTAAACCGATCGGGGACCAAACTTTTTTGAACACCAGATGTCATGGATTGCCGGTCCGAGGTGTCGTGGGAGTCCGTGGGAATGCTTGTAATGTTGAGCAGAAGCTGGCCGACTTCTGGTACGCCTCTGGGCCTCCGCTCTCCGAGGGCAATGCGCAAGATTGCAGCGAGCAAGGAGGCTAGTGAGTTTTCCAAGACTTTACTGATGAATGTGGCCGACACTGTGTGAATAATTGTCAGCAGCGTCGAGGTTTCGGGATAATTTTGACGAAGAAGAAATCACGACTGTCTAGACAATGATTAATCTGAACAGGCTTCTTGCACAGAGTGTCTGTGGATTGCGGAGATGATGTCTTCAAATTCTTGTTGGATTATCTCCTCCATCAGCTCGGAGATATGAAAGAGGCAGAAAGGGAGACTTGCCAGAGCGGCCTGGCCATGAGGTGGAAGAATATGAATGGAGGATTCCAGATCTGTTTGCCCCCAGGTTGCCATCCACCGGATGCAACCCACGCAGCGAGCCTGCTCATACTGTCGTTGGGCCATGGCTTGTTAGATGGCGCCTCACTGAAGCTGGCTGCGTTGAACTTCCTGTCAATGTTTCGAGCAGACGAGGAGCTTCGAAGTGACATGCAGCAGTGTCTATCCTTTGAAGATTCCACAGGTCAAGTTGAGGCACAGACTTTGGACCTCAATTCTGGTTATTCCATTCCGATGGTGGCTTTTGGAACCGCCGGCATGTCAAAGACCCGCGAGGCAGTGGAAGAGGCCCTGCGACTGGGGTATCGTGCTATCGACACGGCAACGCGTCCGTTAGGTGGTGATGGCTTCGGCTACGACCAGCATGCGGTGGGACAGGCCCTGCTTGGGGTGGATCGAAAGTCGATATTTGTCACTTCAAAGGTGCATCCAGCAGAGCTCGGCTTTTCCAAGACCCTCATGGCGGTCGAACGCGCCTTGCAAGAGCTGGGAGATGGAGCAGACGGGTATGTGGACCTCTTCTTGATACATTTCCCGACATGCGAGCTTGACTACTGTCCCAAGGGCGGGGCTCTGAGGCCACTCGGTACCTTCGAAGACAGCTGGCGGGGGTTGGAGGAGGCTGTTCGACGTGGATGGGTGCGGTCTATCGGCGTGAGCAATTTTGACACCCAGCAGTTGCAGCGACTGCTCTCGATTTCGACGATCACGCCTGCTGTTGTTGGAGTGTGGGCGGATATTTACCATCCCGTTCCAAGGTCCTTACGGGTGCTGTGTCGGCGACACAAGATACAGATTCAGGTGTACGGCACCCTCGGCTTCGAGTGGTCACAAGGCCGGGGCTTGACTGGCAAGCTGGCATCCCGGTCGAGCCCACTTCTGCTGAACCCTGTCCTGCGCAACATTGCCAGCTCCAAGAACTGGCCTATTGCAGACGTTGCTGTGAAGTTCTTCTTACAACAAAGGATTGCTGTGATCGTTTCCTCTGAACGGCGCGAACGCATGGTGGAACTCTATTGCTCACAAGATGCCCGCGAACTTTCCGTGGACGAAATGGAGGAGTTGCACGATTTGGACGGTTTTTTGGGCTCAAGTTTGAAAGTTGATGCAAGTCCCGACTTTTATGCGGGAATGTCGGGATTTGACACATCAGAGCTTCATACCCTCACATCACAGTTTCTAAACGTCGACTGGGACTGCAATGGAGCTCGCGCCGACTTTGAGAAGTATGGAGTCGTGCACCTGCAACAAGTGCTCCCGCCAGTTGTTCTGCAGTCTGCCCAACGGGCTTGTCAAAAGATAGTGCTCGACCACGGTGGTGGAAACTGGGAAAAAAGAGACGAGTTTCCGCCTGTTCTGTGTGACTGGACCAAGTCCGGATATAATGCTGACATCAGCATCGACAAAGTACACACCACGGAATTGAGTTACCTGTTTCCTGCCGTGGTTTCCATACAAGATATTGCAAAGTGCATCCTCCGAACAGAGGAGCCTGTTATTTACTACCTCCTTCTGAGAGGAAAGGCACAGGGATGCAATGCCTCTTCCATTCCCTGGCACCAAGACACAGCCTACAACCTGTGGCGAGCGACCGAGGCTGGAGACTTGGGTGGTAGCTGCTAGCCAGGCAGTCTCTTTTACATGTCTTTGCATGTGCTTGTACACCCCGCGAGGCACGAGTTTACGACACGAAGGCGGAAGCGGACATCCAAACATGGGGTAACCACACCGCCGTCCTCCACATCCCGTTGACGACGGAAACGTCAGAAAAGGGAGCGTTGATGTATGCGCTGGGCTCGCATGAGGACGGACTGGACCCCCAATTCTGGTCGCAAAGATGGCTTTTTGGCATGCCGTTGCCACCATATGAATTCAACGCAGACCATAGTGCGGTGAAGACTATGGAGACCCAACCCGGCGATGCGCTGGTGCATTCAACCCTTGTGCATCATGGGACCTGCCCGAATGTGGGCACAGAGGTGCGCTGGCACATTGAAGTAGGCGTCCAGCATCCAGAGTATCAGTACCTGGATGATGAGCACCGGATTCCCTTCCCCCCCGAGCCCTGGCAGATTTGAGTAAGGGTAGGTACTGCAAGCCACCATGTAGTGGCTCGACCGTCTAGACCTGTAAGGACTATTCCATGGCTTCTTTGGCGAGCTTCCTGAGAGAACTAAGCTTACGCGGCTGAATCCGGCTCTCGTGGTCCCCTGTTGCTTCTGCCACGCCTGCAGCCAGCAGCTTGTGGGTCTCGTCATGTGGGACAAGATGTGCCCGTTGTCAGGCTGTGCTATGCAAATTCTGGAGCTTGTAATCGCCTGCTACATTTTTAAATTCATTTCTGCATATCATCTGGCTCAAGTTAATGCCAATGCAATTTTCGAAGCCTAGCTTCCCTAGCTGAAACCAGTAGCATCCAATTCTGGATCTGGAGACTGCATTGCATCAGCGTCATCGGCACCAAGCAGCTGTGAGAGTCTAGGTTGTTGTTGGGTATGCAGTACCCACCCGACTTCACGAGGTTGCGCTTTCTTGTAGACTTCTGACCCTCATTATGCAGCACCATGCCGAAGCGTTTTCAGCGGTCGCAGTCAGCGGATGCTTCCGGCGTCAGAGTGTTCACAGAAGTAGCACAAGAGGGGGAGGACGCTGATCATCCCAGATCCTCGTCCGAGATTGCATGTCAGGGAGAAAGTTATGCGCCAGGAGTGTGAGGACGTGCTGACACAAACTGCGCTGGACGAGATCCGTCAGCTGAAGAACCCGCCGCTGGCGGTGCGACGGACTCTGGAGGCAGGAAGCTCACGAGTTTCGTTCATACCCTGTAACTGTAACCGAGTGGTGCCTCACAAGGTCATGCACATTGTCCTCAATGCTCAGCGGCACAGCAAAGGCTTGCCCGTGCAGGGCATCAAGTGGGAGAGTGTGCTCAGGACCTGGTTCGCCAGTTGCAAGGTTGCTTTGCAGCTGTGAATGTTTTTGCAGGACGTTGGCTGCGGATGATTTGGCGGAGCAGTTGGAGACGTACGACATCAATCAACTGCGAAGGTTCTATGGTACCGTCAGAGCAAGCTAGTTGTGCGGTCAACACCTGTCAAGTGCATGTGCATGTGCATCATGTATGGGGGGGGACGGCGCGGAATAATTATCGTGGAATAATATTCTTTGACGCAGGTTTTCAAGAGGACGTGGAGGGCGGAGGGGGGAGGGGGTCAAAACCGGTCATTTTGCAGTTCGGGTCCGGAAAGCTGAAGCCCGGGCTCGGACCGGACCCGGGTTGCTCAGGTTCAGGGTTTATAGGTTTAAGGTTTAAGGGGGCTTAGGGGTTCAGGAATTCTGGGCTTGCGGTTTCTGGTTTTTGGCTTATGGGTGGAGGGTTTCGGGTTTAGGTTTCTGGGTTAGGGTTTCTGGGTCAATAGTTTCGACGTTTCTGGCTTTAGGGCTTAGGGTTTCTAGGTCTATAGCTTCTGGATTGGGGTCTGTAGGTTCAGGGTTTACGGGTATATATCTGTGTCTAATAGGGTTTCTGGGCTCAGGGTTTCTGGGTTTAGGGTTTCCCATTGTAGAGTTTCCGGGTTCAGGGTTTCTGGGCTTGGGGTTTCTGGGTTTGGGGTTTAGGGGTTCAGGGTTTCTGGATTTGGGGCTTCTGGGTTTGGGTTTCCTGCTCCATACTGACTTCTCTGACAAGTGTCGGTCCATCAAACACAGCAACAAGCCCAGAAGCACCGCAAAAGCCAAACCCCGACCGAAGGACAGACACCAACAACCAAACAGAAAGAAACAGATGCAACGCACAAAGCAAGCAGCGAGGCATTCCAGACGCCCAAAGCCCGAACCCCAAATGCCTGAAACCGCATCAAACTCCGAAACTCTCGGCCCAACCAACGCAATGAAAGCAGATGTCCTGACCCCCTTACTTAATGGACAAGTGCAAAAGGACCAAATTCCTCCGGACTCGGGGTTGCGGATCCGGGCGAACGTCCCCCACCTCCCGGAATAATTTCGTCCCTCACCTCGAGAATAGCTAACAAATATTCCCACCTCCCCCCAATGAAGGCTCGAGCAGCCAAGCGAGCCCTGCGGCAGCGGGACATCAGCAAACAGTCGCGCTGACCAGCGTG